GATTTGGTGGACAGAGTGCCTGAAGAACTTTGGATAGAGGCTCGTAACATTGTACAAGAGCCAGCAACCATCCCAATGAAAAAGAAATGCAAGAAAGCCAAGTGGCTGTCCAACGAGGCCTTACAAATAGCCTGATCACTGCAGATGGTGACAGCAACTACGAAATTAAAAAACACCTGCTTCTTGGGCGGAAAGCGATAAGAAACCTAGACAGCATCTTAAAAAGCAGAGACATCACCTTGTCGACAAAGGTCCGCCTAGTCAAAGCTATGGTTTTTCCAGTAGCGATGTATGGAAGTGAGAGCTGGACTATAAAGAAGGCTGACTGCCAAAGAATTGATGCTTTTGAACTGTGGTGCTAGAGGAGACTCTTGAAAGTCCCCTGGACTGCAAGGAGAACAAACCTATCAATTCTAAAGGAAATCAACCCTGAGTGCTCACTGGAAGGACAGATCCTGAAGCTGAGGCTCCAATACAGTGTTCACTGTTTCGCTTACCGATCATCACAAAACGAAGATTTTTTAACAGCTGATCGGCGGTTCCAAAATGGCCATCGGGTAAAAAAAATGGCCGCCCGCTGTGTTTTTGCACGGATTCCTCGCTTAAGAGGCAGCGAAAATGGCCGCCGTATAGAGGATCTTTGCTTTAAGGTGATTTTTTTGTCCACAGGAACACATTAAACAGGTTTTAATGCGTTTCTATGGGCTTTTTAAAATCGCATAGCGACAAAATCGCTTAGCAGCGATTTTTGCTGTACGGATTAACGTCGCTATGCGAGGCACCACTGTACTTTGGCCATCTGATGAGAAGAGAAGACTCCCTGGAAAAGACCTGAGGTTGGGAAAGTGTAAGGGCAAGAGGAGAAGGGGACAACAGAGGATGAGATGGTTGGAGAGTGTCATCAAAGCTACAAACATGAATCTGACCCAGCTCCGGGAGGCAGTGGAAGACAGGAGGGCCTGGTGTGCTCTGGTCCATGGGGTCATGAAGAGTCGGACACGTCTTAACGACTAAACATAACGTATTAAAAAGAGGTCATTAGGAATATTTCCAAAACATGCAATGCATCACTGTAGTACAGTGCTTGTAAGAAGAAACATTGTTCTGTATTTCTACTGGTGCTAGTGAGGAACTTTGTTTATGTTCTGTGCTCATGTACTTAAAAGATGTCAAAATATTCCTGCAGCCGCAGTTGGCTTTTTCAATGAAAATTACAGGGTGGTTGTTTTTTTTACTATTGCTGTTCACAGGCCCAAAAAGTGCACATGCTTAACATTTATGTTCTGGTTATAATTGCTGAAAAGGCAAGCTGCTTGTAAAAAGGAATGAAACAATCAACTTTCAGTGCTTTACATGAACCATGTCTTATTAACTTTGACACAGTCTCTTTTCATATTTTCTACTCACCTTGACATAAGGCGGTGCAAAAGATGATAAAAACCACTTCACATTTTCATCTCCATTGTTTTCAATCTCCAAGTATTTCTCTACAAGACAAAAGCTTGTGCATATTAACAGGTGCCACTAATATGATTTCACAATATTCACATGTATAAGCAGGTTGAAATTCTGGCTCGTCATTACTCCAACAACTCACAGCCACAAGCCAAGAACAAACCATGACCTAGGACTCCAGCTTGCTGGAGCAGAGTCAAGTCAGAGTTCTTGTTTCATGCAGAAAGCTAAATAGCAGGCAGAAGATCCAGAGTTTATTTAGCCACTCCAGCTTGGAGCAGAAACCAAGCAGGAGATGTTAAGTACAGACCTAGCAGATTCATAATAAGACAGACAGCTAAATGTACTACATGTCATGATTACTGCCTTCATAAACTGATTTAGAATGCACTACATTTCCATTGTGAATGTGCCTGCCATTCCAGCTTAATGAATGGAAGCCACAAGTGTTTATTAACCCAAAGACAAGGAAAAATCCACAGCCTGGCAGCTTAATACTTCACAAAATATATCCTTCAAGTCCTTATATTTAATGGGAGACAGAAAAGCTAAACTAACTGTTTTCAAACTTCTTGGCAACTAAGAACAAATCACACAAAGAAACACAACAGAAAGCCGGGATCCCACATTTCTGTGCTAGCGGTGCACAGATACAGGCTGACTTGGTTTTCAGTGGCCTGACTACAAGGTTATTCTACGTTTCAAACACCATGGTTTATGAAGTTGAGAATAAGCATTATAGATTATAAGTCCTCTTCCTGTGCAGCATATCTTTTCTGACTTAATTGCAGTAATATTCAATCAGAATTCTCTAGTTTGGATATAATGGGAAACTCTGGTTTAATGTGAAAAAAATAAGTGCTTATATGAGGGGAGCAATGCTCACATCCATTATTGCTTCTTAATTTAAGAATCCATTGTGTTTGTGGACACAAGAGCTATCCAGCCAGAGCAACCTGATCAGAGAACCAGGCTCCAGATCTGTAGCTTGGGCAGTTCACTGTGGGCATTGTGTCTTCATAATGCACAAAACAAACCCCCGCATTCAGTCCTGGGCACTCAGCTCTACTGCTGCATGTGGAGAAAAATAGAGTGGTGCCTCACTTAACAATGACAACTGGTTCCCAAAAAATCGCTGTTAAGTGATTTCATCTCTAAGCGAAACATGGTTTCCCATAGAAATGCATTGAAAACCAGATAATCCGTTCCAATGGGAACGGATTGCCATCCTTAAGTGAAAATCGCCATAGGAAACATCGCGAAGCGAAACACGGTTCCCCACTTGAAATGCACTGAAACCTATTCAATGCATCTCAATGGGGAAAAAAATTACAACAAATTTAAAAAGAGTCGGAACAAAGTCAAATTAGTTTAACAAAGGGTTTATTAAGTGCACTTATGATTTCAAGCATTCTAAACATTTTTAAAACATTTTTAAACATTTAAAAAACAGCCAGCATGAGGCTGTCAAAACCATCGTTAAGCGAAACGGGGGACCCAAACTGTCATCGCTATGCAAAGCATGGTCCCAAGCATCGCTATGCAAAAATCGCCCATAGGAAACATTGTTAAACGGAGCGCAAGATTGCTCTGAAAAAGTCATCGCTAAGCAATTTCATCGTTAAACAAAGCAATCGCTAAAGCGAGGCACCACTGTAGAGGAGGCATTTTTATGCCTTCCACATAAAGTGGACATCCAAACAGCAGTTGCTATGTGGTTCCTTCACCTGCCATAAGTCATATTGTTATGGTTCTGTAAGTATCTTCTAGGCCAAGAACAAAACTGTCAGTTCTTATTTTAACTCTAGTCGATACACAGCTAGTCTTTCCTGCCAGAATGAAGTAAAACATACAAGTTTCAGTAAGAGATTTTGCCAGACAAGATATTGATAACATACAGGAGAAAGCTTACCCGATGTTTTACCAGATCTTGTCTCAGGAAAACACACAGTCCTATTTTTTACTTCTAGTTTTGTTAAGGGCAGCTTCTGAATTGGTTGTATGAGAATAACAGGAAGCTCAGACTGCTGCTGTTGCTGCTGAACTCTTGCTTTGCCAGCTGAGGAGCCCCTTCCAAATTGCTCCTCTGAGCTATCTTCCCAAATCTGGACCCTAACAACCTAGACACAAGAAACAGATGAGGGAGGGGGAAAATTACTACATTTCAGTATAAGTCTATCAAGTTACCCAATGGGATTTCTACCTAGCTAACCAATGTGCATATACGACTACAAATAAAGCAATGTGAGAAGAGGAACCAATTAAAATGGTTAAACCTGAAAGTGAGCCATCCCCTCAATCTTCTTGGGTGGAGAGAATTGAAAATGTGTTGAGTGCTATACCCAAGGCGATTCAAGACCTAACTCTAGAGGAAGCTTGGTGACTACAGGGTTGGAGGAAAAGGTGGGAAGACAGAACAGCTGGGGTTCAGAAGAGTGGATAGTGACAGAGAAGGAAAAAGGTAGTGGGGGACAACAAAAGGAAGAGGGACCACATCTGGTCTCGTTCCCAAAAAAAGAGAGGTGGCAGACCCACACGCAGACATGGGATGACTGGGACAGAAATCTAGCTGGGTGAGTTAGACCCATTAGAATGGACAGTGTATGTCTTTCGTTGGGGGAATGGTCCTTGGAAGAGGTGGTACGCCTGGACCCTGTCCCTACTGGGGAGACACCTTGTGAAGGAGATTGGGTGCATCAACCTGGGTGTGGGACAATTTGCACAGTAAGGAGCAACTCTTTGAGGAAGTCAACTGTGACAATCACCCTGCTTCGGCTCATGTATGAGATTATTTGCATACACCAATGGGAGTTGTTGGGAGGTGGAGCCAGAGAAACCAGAAGGCAGAAGTGAATCAGAGTCAGAGTTCAGTCAGTGAGAGTCAGAGATGAGAGCCTGAAGGAGAAGTTAGGAGTTAAGAGTGTCGAACTTATAGAGAACTAACAAAGTTAAGAGTGAAACAAGTTATTACTAATCTAATGAATACATTAAAGTCTGTGAAGAACCACTTTAAATGAACTGTAATCAACAAACCTGTGTTGTTCAACTTTATACTCAGCTTGGACCTCAATCTTTCTAATTAAAAGGTGTTGACAGAGGTCAACTGGTGACAGCAGAAAAGAGAGACTGTATTGTGGGCCTCAGGCTATTGAAACAACCTGGGGACACATGAGGGGCGCGTCACACCAACCAACCGGGAGAGATTTGAAACATCACCACGCTGAAAGAAAATACAATGGAGACTGGACTGCCTATATCGTGGACTGGTTCAACTATGGTTAATGGTCCCGGTGGACCTACCAAAGTTACTGTACACCCCTCCCCTCCCTAAAGAGATAAAATGTTCTGTTAAAGATATTAAGTCTTCAGTCATCAATCAGGTAAAAGAGGAACTGCTTAATTTAAAACAAGAACCCAATCACACAATGTCAAAATTTTTAAATGGGCAGAATCCAATAAGGCACTTCAAACTGATAGAACCTTAAGCTTAAGCAGCACACTTTAAGTACAGTGAATGCCTCGTCCTTACTGAGGACTCCAAGTACCCAAAAGCTTTCTCTAGAGCAGAGGTCTACAGACCTTTGACTGTGAGGGCCACACCACATGCCCAGCACATGGGCTGAAGGGAACAGGCCGGGTAAAATGGCAAGGTGGGCCAGATGTGGCCCATGGGCCGTACTTTGGAGACCCCTGCTTTAGAGGATTATGAAATCATCTTCAACTATAACCTCTCAACCAGCTACACAGCCGCCTAAAATGAACATCATCTAGCCCACATTTTATGAGCTTAACCACAAAATTATTATGAGTTCAAAGTATTGCTGAAATCAAGATACACCATATCCACAGGAATCTGCCAAGCTTCTGACTCTGTTAGAAAAAGTGAAAAGAGTTATATGGCATTCATTTCTGAGTTCTAACTGAGTGACTCTATCTGTTTCAGAACATTTCCTGATAGTGATGTCCAGTTGGCTGGTAAATAGTTGATCAGATAGTTCTTCTTTTTGAAGACGAGGACATCATTTGCTTGCCTCTAATCTTCACGGACCTCACCTGTTCTCCAAGAATTTAAGAATTACAGGCAGAGGCTCTGCAACTACACATGCAAGTTCCTTTAATGACCTTGGATGCAGTTCATCTGTTCCAAGTTATCTGAATTCATTTAAAGGAAATACAGTGGTGCCTTGACTTACGAACGCCCCTACTTATGAACATTTCGACTTACGAACAGCTCCGGTCGCAACATTTTGCTTCCACTTACGAACAGAAACATGCAAGGAAAAAAGGCAGGAAATTCAATTTTTTAACTGTAGGTGGCAACGAGGATGCTCCTTTGTACTGTAGCTCTTCCACTTTCAGCAGTTAGAGGGTGTATTGTTATGTTGGAGTCTAGGGAGTGAGCGTGTGTGTGTCTGCAGGGAGGTAAGCTGCTGTTTTCTCCTTTTAAAAAACTGTTCTGAGTGGGTTTTGGCTGGGGCGGGTATGTATCTCTGCTGTGTTGTTGGTGGCTATTTATTTTTGGAGGGTTTTTTGCCTCAGCAATGGAGGTGGCTTTAGTGTTTGTTTCTAGAGGTTTCTTTTTCTTCTTAAACAGCCCTCAAGCTGGGTATGCACATGGACTATCTGCCCCCACAAAAGGGACTCCACTAGGGGAAAGATGGACCCCCTGTTGTTGTTGTTGTTTAGTCATTAAGTCATGTCTAACTCTTCATGACCCCATGGACCAGAGCAAGCCAGGCCCTCCTGTCTTCCACTGCCTCCTAGAGTTTGGTCAAATTCATGTTGGTAGCTTCAATGACACTGTCCAACCATCTCATCCTCTGTTGTCCCCTTCTTCTCTTGCCTTCACACTTTCCCCATATCAGGGTCTTTTCCAGGGAGTCTTCTCTTCTCATCAGATGGCCAAAGTATTGGAGCCTCAGCTTCAGGATCTGTCCTTCCAGTGAGCACTCAGGGTTGATTGCCTTTAGAATGGATAGGTCTGTTCTCCTTGCAGTCCAGAAGACTCTCAAGAGCCTCCTCCAGTACCACAATTCAAAAGCATCAATTCTTCGGTGGTCAGCTTTAAGTGTAGTCTGTCAAAAACTCAGACAGGAAGACAAACATGTCATAGGTGCAGCAGGGCACTACAGATGTTCCTTCCATATCCATATGTCTTATTATATGCAGACTGTGACACAGCACTCCTTGTCTCCCCCTCAACTTCTCCTGCTAAATGTCCGTTTACTCACTCTGCTCACAAGGTTCTCAGGGACTCTGCATGCAGCTACAGAATAGCACCTATTAGCTACAATTCTTGCAGTCAAGTCAGTCACCCACTTCCTGTCAGCTGTGTCCTCCCCACCCCTAGCACTGTGTAATGGAGCACAGCACATGTTTGCAGTCACATGGAGTCTAAAATGTACTATCATATAATAAGCCTTCAAACAAGCCCAGACAAACTACTCAAGCCAACAGAACAGCCTCACACTCTCTTGTCTCTTCTGCCACTCCATGCAAAATGCCCACTTACTCACCCTGTTCATAGGCACAGGGGCTCTGGGAGCAGCTGTAGACTGCCAACTGCTGATTTGTCCCCTCAACAAGAAATCAGAAGTCTGACTTGGAAAAGCAACTATGAAATAAATAGAAATGTTCCCTCAGTGTAAAGATGTATCACTAGGGTCAAAGGCCATGATCGTCGATATTATGGTATTCCTGATTGCTATGGATGTGAAAAAAGGGAAGAAAGCTAACAGGAAAAAATTGATTCATACAAAAAGTAATGTTGGAGGAGAGTTTTATGGATACTATGGGTGGTTAGAAAAACAAGTAGATCAGGTCAAACCTTAACCCTCTCTAGAAACAAAACTGATGACATTATTTTCGGGCACAAGATGAGATAAACTTGAGAAAAGCTGAACACAGCCAGAAAAGAGGGAGAATTAATATGAGACCTATATACTCAATAAGGGAAATCATGGCTTGAGTTTGTAAGACGTGAGCAGAAGGGTAAAGCAGAATTTGTTTGGAAGTTGCCAATTGATAGGATTCTTATGTCAGAAACTATTTGAGAAAGCATAACAACCTTTCACAAATTCTCTGGAGAGCCCACAATTATGAAAAACAAAACACACCATTTATAAATATAACACAAAAAGAGATACACAGATATTCATTGAAATAGTTATTTCACTAGAAGTGTTAATGGATGCAGAAGATGCATGCTTTTGCTGTAAGTAGGATTAGATTTGCAGAAAAGAGAATGTATGTGAAATCTTAATATTTGGAAAGTGTTCCGCATGTCAAGAATGGTAAAATGATTTTACTGCAATACAACTTGCAAAGAAATAAAGAGAAACAAGTGCAATGAGGCTAACTTTTACTATTCAGTTCAATCCAATTTTCTGGACTTAGGGATTTTAGGGTTAGAGATATATTCTGGAACTCTTGTCTTTTTGTGCTACCTCGCAATATAGACAGCCATATTTATATATAATCAGATTCAAATAATCTCAATGATTTTCACTTAGGCTAGCTAATTGGAATTTTTGTTTCAGACAGTAGTATACTTCCAGTTCCAAACTAGAAAAGGGAAAGAGGCTTGCTCATCATCATGGGTAACGGGTAACTCTTGGGCTAACACAAAAAAGGTTTTCCTTAGCAAGTAACATACAGCTAAGGTTCAAAGATGCATGACAATAAAACACAAGTGATAAAGAATTTCATTAGAAAGCCTGCTGCAATTTTGTATTCTGCTCCAATGTTTCGTTTTATTTATTTATACCCCATTTTAATATTTAATATCAATGAAAGCAGTCTGAAGACAGATACATTAGAACAGTGTTTCCCAACCTGGGGGTTGTGAAGTGTTTTCTGGGGGGTCGAGGGTCATGTTACATGTGTTGTAGCCCTTGGTTAATAACTTTTTTGGTCTTTTGGAGCAGGATATTAAAGTTAGTGTGTATGTGTATGTATGAGAAACAGGCCCTTTGAGGGGAGAAAGAAGCCTCTACTTTCTAAAGAGGAATGACTTTACCCCAGTAAAAATGTTTTTTTATGCAAACATGGTGGTGCGGAGTTCACAGGTTACTTGGGTATTATAAAAATAGGTCACAAATTGAAAAAAGCTGAAAAATTATTTATTTACTTCCTTGATAGTCCACGGGGTTTCAGAGGCACCATGTATTGCTCTGGGAAAGAGAAGGAGTTAAAATTTATTAAATATTAAATATCTAGACACAAGTTTACTCTGGGCAGCTAACAATAAAAATGGAATAAAACAGTATAATAAAATAAAAAGCACCAACAGTAATATGTTTCAAGATGGGAGAAAACTAAGAATAATCAAGTGAAACACTGCTTTAGAACAAAAGCCACTTAATACACTAACTTATAACAACAAACAGCAAAACAGCACCAGTTATTTAAAGAAGAATAAGTCAATTTAAAAAGCAGATAGACATACCTTTATCACCTGTCTATCTAATAGAAAAGGGAGAGAACATTGCAAATCCACACTAGCCAATTGCCATGTCAAATGATCTTGCATTTGAGTAGTACACAGAGCAAAGTATCTCAGCCCAATAAACGGACCAGAAGGCTCTCCCTTTTCCATTGTATCCGGTTAGTGAAAATTTTAATTCTGAAAATCCAGGCTATGTCCTTTTAATGATATCAATACAGTGGTGCCCGCATGATGACGATAATCCGTCCCGTGAAAATCGCTGTTTAGCGAAATCGTCGACATGTGAAAACCCTTTATCCATTGGAATGCATTAAAGCCTGGTTTAATGCGTTCCAATGGGGAAAATACCTCATCGTCCAGTGAAGATCGCCCATAGGGAAGCCATTTTGTGAGCACTGATCAGCTGTAAAAATAGCTGCCCTGCAAAGCATGGGTCCGGAAAACACAGGGCAGCCATTTTGCGAAGCAGAAAAAATTGTTGTCTTGAGAACAAACGATTCGTGAAGCACGGACCTAATCGGCATCCAGCGAAAATCCCCCATTGGAATGACTGTTTTGCGATCGCAAAAAGTCATTGTTATGCGGATTTGTCATTTAGCGGGGTCGTTTAGCGAGGTACCACTATACTTAATTTATAGAAGAGAACCAACACAACTAAAAATATGCCCATACATACACATTTATATAAACCACTTACTTTTTGTACACCATCACAGTGTATATAAATAAGGCCACTCCATGGAAGTATGGATTTATTTTCTGCAAGTGAGGGATTTGGACTCACACGGATTGAAATAGTGTTTCTAGAAACAGAGTTCAGTATTATGTTCAAACAGTATAATGAGAAAGGATACACCAGCCTTCCACAATCTTAGCTCTAGAAATGTTTTAGACTAATGCCCATCAGCTCAGTTAGCATGGCCTATTGTCAGGAATTCTAGGATTTTTTGACTAAAATTTCTAAATACCACTACAGTGGTTTACATATAAATTAATTTGATAATGCCAATGAAACAAACATTTTACCATTGTTACTGAAAACTTCACTATTACATTTGCATTTCTTAAGCATTTATACATGACAGGCAGGATATATTAGCATTCCGTTTAACTACAGCAGATAAACTGCATATCCATTCTATCCACAGGTCTGGTTACAGTTGGAAAGTTCACAAATCAATGGATCACCCACCAGAGCACCTACCACATGCTAGTGTAGCACTGACATGCGTGGAACTATGATACTGCTATCAGCAACCATTTTCACCCCTGCTTTGCATTTAATTTTTTATAGGTTACAACTGGTCTACTGCTGAGCCTACTGTTATAGCATATCTCACTATAACTACAGGTAAACAAATAAGAGAAATCTTAAGCATGAAAGGAAGACTGCAACCTTTTTATAGTAGCTCTGAATGAATTGTTACTATTACCAGCTCTTTTAAAAAGAAATTCCATTGTCTTCAATAAAACTATTCGAATATGAATCATATATACTGTATCTTCTAGCTCTTTATACAACTTCCTCAGTTCTTACAGATACCCTAAAAATATCTCTGAATATTAAAGATGAAGCAACATATTCATGTAGGAAACAAATTTGCCATCATTAATACAGTCAGAAGTTTTTAAATACTAAAAAGTTAGGTTACCTAGCTGTAACCATGGTTCTTCTAGTGGACCTCTGTGAATTCACACAAATGAGTTTGTTCTGTGCCTGCGCAGGACGTTTGGAACATTCTAGAGCTTAAGGAAAAAAAACAATTTAGTCCCCTCCCAAGGCACCAGCTCCACCTCCTCAACCTTCCTTTCAGCTCCACCTCCTCAACCTTCCTTTCAGTTCCCTGGGTCCACTGGTACCAAGAATCGGTATCAACATTAAATGAACGTGACGGACAGAGGGGAGGAAGGGAGGGATGTGTGAATTCACAGAGGTCCACTAGAAGAACCATGGTTACAGGTAGACAACTTAACTTTCTTCGTAGTGGCCTCTGTGAATGCACACAAATGGGTGAATAGCAAGCTTACTCACCGGATGAAGAGCCGTCACGGTAGCAAGGATGACAATATCACCCTTCCAAAAGCAGCATCATGCTTGGCTCTGACGTCGAGGCGGTAGTGCTTCGTAAATGTCAGAGGATTGGACCAGGTAGCCACTCTACAGATGTTTTGTATCTGTATGCCTCTGTGGAGAGTGGTCAACGTAGAGACTGCTCAGATAGAGTGCGCTTTCAAATGGTCTGGTATCGCCTTGCCTGCAACCTGGTAGACCAACTGTACTCTCTGTACTATCCACCTAGATACAGTCTATGGAGAGGGTGCATCCTTGTTGGGTCCGTGATAGCACTGGAATAGATGAAAGGAGCGTCTGGAATGCTTAGTCCTATCAAGGTAGAAGGAGAGAGCCCTTTGGATGTCCAGTGTGTGGAGCTTACACTCAATTAGTGTGGTTGGGGATGGAAACAGAGTTGGAAGAATAATAGGTTGATTTAAGTGGAAGTCGGATACCACCTTGGGTAGAAAAGACACATCAGGGTATAGATTGACCTTATCAGGGTGCATTTGGAGATATGGAGGGTCTGATCTGAGAACGGATAGTTCACTAGCTCTTCTTGCAGAAGTTATCGCCAAGAGAAAGGCAGTCTTGAAAGATAGCAATTTGTCACTACAGGTTGCCATAGGCTCAAATGGTGGTTTTGTAAGAGCTTCAAGGACAATTTGAAGCAACCACTGAGGTACGATACGTTGAGGTGGTGGCCTGATGTTCTGCAGACCTTTAAGAATTTGACAGCGGGGTAAGAAAAAAGCTTAGCAGAGCGGGATCCAGGAGGTTGGTGAGCCACTATGGTGGAGATATATACTTTAATAATGGAGTGTTCAAGTCCAAGATTAAAGAGATGCAGAATGAAGTTAAGTATGGTTGTGAGGGATGTAGGGATTGAGGTAAGTCCTTTAGATTGAAGAAACTTTATGAAACAACTCAATTTGTTCTGGTATAGGTGAGATGTAGACAGTTTCTGAGCCTGATCTAAGACTATGCAGAATTTGGGATTATTCTCCACACCGTGATGTGCAGTGACCGGACATCTGGATGGAGAACGGCTCCGTCATTCTGGGAGAGGATTGACGGTATCGAAGGTGAAACATCTCCGCCGTTATTTCCTTGAGGTGGGCGAACCATGGCTGTCATGGCCACCACGGGGCGATGAGAATTGCGTCTGTTCGGTACTGAATGATTCTGGTTATCGTCTTGAGCGATGGAGGTATTGGAGGGGAAATGTAAAAGAGTTCTCTGGACCACAGTATCACGAATACATCTCCGAGTGACTTTGTGTCTAGTCCCGCTCTGAGCAATACTTGTGGCATCTGGTGTTGAGATGGGATGCAGAGAGGTCTATCGAAGGTTGGCCCCACTTGAGATAGATATCTCGGAAGACAGTGTCGTTGAGGGACCATTCGTGCATCCTGGTGGGGAGCCTGCTGAGGCGGTCCACCAAGTAGTTGTCCTCTGAAAAAAATGTGAATTGCTTGAGAAAAAACATTGTGGCTGGGGCACCATTCCCAAAACTTTATGGTTAAGCGAAGGAGGGGCAGAGATCGAGTTCCCCCCTGTTGGTTTATACTGTATAATGCACGGCTGTGGTATTGTTGGTCACGAGCTGTACTGCTCTCCCCTTGATATGTGGGAGAAAGGCTTGAAAGGCCTTCATGATAGCTAGCATTTCTAGCTGGTTTATGTGGAGCATTCTTTCTGTCTTTGTCCACAGGCTGTGAATCTGAAGTTCCTGGCAATGGGCCCCCCATCCCGAAGGGCTGGCATCTGTCATTACTTGTATGTACAGGTAAGGAGGTTGGAACGGTCTTCCCGCTGATAGACTGTGGGCAGATGTCCACCAGGTGAGGTGGTCTGCCATATTTGATGGTCCCGTTAGCTTTTTTAGCAGACTGTCTATAGAGGGGTTGAATTGGGAGAGGAACCAGGCTTGCAAATTTCGCAGTTTCAGTCTGGCGTGGGGAACAACTGATGTTGTGGAAGCCATCAGACCGATTAAATGCTGAGTATCAAGAGCCGTTACTGTCCCAAAGGGCTGTAATCGCTGTATTGACTTTAGGATCTTTAAGATTCTTTGGGGTGGCAGAAATGCCCTTGCTTGTGTAGCATTTAGCTGAGCCCCTATGTAGTTGACAAGTTGTGATGGTTCCAGATGGGATTTTTCTCTATTTATTTCGAAGCCTAACTTGCTTAAGGCGTTGAGTGTGGTTTTCACGGCCACAATGGCGTTGTGATAGGATTTGGCTACCACAACCCAGTTGTTGATATAGGGGGAAAGTTTTATTCCCTTGGTATGGAGGTAGGCGACCACGGGGGCCATACACTTTGTGAATGTCCTGGGGGCTGTAGAGAGCCCGAAGGGGAGGGCAACAAACTGGTAGGTTGTGTGTTGAAACCGGAACCTGAGGAATTGACAACGAGACGGATGGATCGATATATAAAAGTAAGCATCCTTGAGGTCGATGGTGACAAACCAGCTCCCCTGGGATAGAAGAGGGAGAATGGAGTCCTACGGAATTTTCAATAGTGTATGTATTCATTAAGGTCTCTAAGGTCCATAATGAGTCTAATACCACCATCCTTCTTAGGGACAGCAAAATAGCAAGAGAAGAAGCCTCCGCTCAAGTCAAAGGATGGGACTTTAACCATGGCCCCTTTACGAAGGAGGAATGATATTTCCTCCTGTAGAAGGAATGAAAAAGGAGTGGCCTTAGCAAAGTTTGGAGGAGTTCGCGAGAACTCGATCAGGTAGCCTTTTTCGATGATGGCCAAAACCCACATGTCGGTGGTAATCCTCCGCCATTCTGGGAGGAACGGGAAAAGTCTCATGGAGTTATGGGAGTAATCAGGTGAATTGCTTACCCCAACGTTGCTGTTTACGAAAAGGCTGTTTGGAGCCAGAGCAGGATTGTTGACTGAATTGCAGGGGGTTGGTTTGTGGCATCTGGTAAGCCTGTTCCTGCTGCTGTTGCTGCTTGTTGTATCAAAAGGGCTGGTATGGAAACGCTTCTTGGTAGAAGGGCTTCTTGTAAGAGGGTTTCTGGTATTTATACGGTTGGTATGGTATGTACGACTTAGCAGTCTTCCTCATCTTATGGATGTTTTCCATTAAATCGTCAGTCTTGGAATTAAACAGCCCTGCAGCATTGAAAGGGAGGTCTTCAAACTTGGTCTTGGTATCATCCAGGATATTAGCCGCTCTGAGTCAAGCATGGCGTCTAACCATGTTGTAAAGTCTTAGCCATGTGCAATATAAGTTGCGCATATGATGTGTAGAGTCCTCCAGAGGTGACTGGGGTTGGCTATCAGTGGCACCCGTACCTGGCATGTCAGATTCGCCAGAGGACGATGAATTGTCGTCCTGGGATAATTGAGAGACCAGAGAGGTAGAGCGGTGTAGGCTTGGTACCAGAGCCCTTGGTATGGGTTCAGTCTCGGATTGAGTAGATGCAGAGAAAGGTTCCGCATCAAGACCATGTGCGCCAGAGTAAAGCGTAGTAGCCTGTACCGTAGGACGGTTCCTAGAGTGTTTAGATCGCTTGATAGGTATGATAGACTCCGGTACCATCCCCCTTTTCTGGGATGGCTCGAATCAGTGCGTAGGAATATCCTCTCGGGCTTCCATTGGAGGAGCCATGGAGGGGTACCATGGCAGCGGAGGGTAGGCTGGACCTCTGAAATTCTCATGATAGGTATATCCATGGTATGGAGGTGGATGGTATCTGTCAAAATACAGGTGACCATACTGCAGTGGCCCCTCTGGGTAGTAACATTGCTGCTCGAGTCTGTAAGACTGGTATGGAGAGGCATTTGTGCTTCTCTGTTCTCTTTTTTGGAGTGCATACCACGGACTCCTGCTCAGATTCAGCCTTGAAGATCGAGGGCTAAGAGGGCCTGCAGCCAGGGTGGAGAGTGCGTCAGCCCCAAATCGGCCCGAGCTTGGAGACATGCTTACCATTGCATGAGATGTTTGGGCTGGAGGAATGGTACGATCCTCTCTGTCCGAAAGCCCAATAGCTTCTCTTGAAGAATCCTCCACTGATATAGGAGCCATGGGCAGAGGTCTGGTATTCAGCGTAGCAGCTTTCTTTTGCCTGTTAACCTTATCTTTGTCCTTTTTCTTTTTTGTAGGATCATCAGACCGCGCTTGAGCCTTAGCTGAGGCTAGTTTAGGCGGCTTATGGGAGTTCTTGGATGTGATAAGTGAAGAGGTCGAACTGGATAGAGGCTGCTTTAGGTGACGGGAGGGATGTTACCTCCATATTAGGGTTCAAAGTCTTTTCGTACAGAAAGGATCTCAATTGCTGAAGCTGCAGTTTAATAGCCTGTTTAGAAAGGCTCCTGCACGCAGTGCACAAATGGGTTTGATGGGATTCCCCAAGACAAAAAAGGCACTGACCGTGTCCATTAGTTAGGGGGATCTCTCTTAGGCAAACGTTTTGAAGCCTCGAGGGGCCATAAAACAAAGAAAGGAATATGGGAGAAAAATAAAAAGGAGGAATCCGGGGGGGGGGGGGGGGGGGGG